ACACACAATATCACCACTGAAGTATCTGTGCCCAAAAAGAGTTGAAACTGAATCTAATCAAGCTTCTAGACTTAACTTTCAGGGTCCTATGGTGCTACTTTATTTTTGTGGTGCTGAGGATGGAACCCAGGGCAGGCAAATAAATAAATGCTCTACCACCGAGCTACATCCTGAGCCCAAATGGCACCACTTCAGAATACTGTGGAAAAACAAGTTTACTCGGCCGGGGATTTAGCTCAGTGGTTCTGCTGCCTGCCTCGAAAGCGCTAGGGCCCCTGGTACCAAAAAACAAACAAACAAACAAAAACCAAGTTTACTGACACCATGAGCAAACACTCAGGTAAATTTCTGTGTGAAAGTTCTGTAAGACTAATGTTTTGGGCTCTCAAAAAACAATCGGTGTCTTGGGGATTTTTTTGTGTGTGTGTGTGTTTTTGTTTTGGTACCAGGGATTGAACTTGGGTCCTTGGACTTGAGCAGCAGGCGGGAATGTTTTTGTTTTTGATGTGGTCCTGGGGATTGAGCCCAGCCCCTTCACCATGAACTACATCCCCACCCCCTTTTTTATTGAGACAGTTTCACTGAATTGGTGGGCTTGAACTTTTGATCCTTTTACCTTAGCCTTAGTGCTGGGATTACAAGCATGTATCACCTTGCCTAGAAGGATCTCTTTTTTTTTTTTAATGAGGGAACTGTTTGAGACTAAAAGAGACCAAACAACCAAATGATTATGGTTTGGAATAAAACACGCTAAAAGGCATTTTGAAGACAGCTAGAAAAACTGAATATGAAATAGCATCAGATCATCAAAAGAATTGCTATTCAGTGGCAACCTGACTCACTCCCAAGCACAAGGTCTTGAGTTTGAACCCCGGTACCAAAAAAAAAAAAATCGCTATTAGTTTTCTTTTAAGTACTGTAACCACACAAACACAGTTAGGTATGAGATTGGTTTTTTTTCCCTTAGGAAATACATGCTTCTAGTACTTTCAAATGAGACAGCACACATACCTAAATATATGTAAGTACCTATTAAAAGAAGAGGGAGAGGGTAGGGGTAATGTGTGGGCAATTATGGCAAAATGTTAACTGGACATCAGTTTAGGCAGAGAAACGTGGGTGTCCATTATAACGCTCTTTCACATTTTTCTGTATATTTGAACTTTTCCCTATAAAAAGTTGGGAGCAGAGAGAATAAAGTAGAATGCTATAAACTAGCAGTTCTCAAAGAACAGTCCCCTGTATACCCATGAAACTCTTTCAGGGTGTCTAAAAGTCAAAAGCATTTTCCTAAATGTCATTAGAAGGACTGACTGCACTTATTCAGACCTGGGCATCTGGCAGACATTTTCTTGAAAGGAATAACATGAGACCATAGCTTAAAGTATTTGGTGCTCAAGAGAAAACTTGAGGGGCCAGGGATTTAGTTCAGTGGTTCCGCCACCTGCCCTGAAAGTGCAAAGACCTGAGTTCGATCCCCAGTAACAAAAACAAAAAAAGGGAAAACTTGAACTTTCTGGCACAAGGTAAAATTTTGGAGAACAAGCATCTATGCCAGTGAATGTAACCACTTCCCAGTACTTAAACATTTTTCAGATGACTTTGGCAATGCTATTACTGTGAATTTTTGATACTGTATAAGGAAATTTGAAAGATTTGCATAACTCAAGGAAATCAATATTTTCCAAATGACCAATGTATACAATACAAAGCAACCGGTAAAGACCCATTCATTCACAGATTTTAACGCCATGAAAGGCTCGCTGATGTGGTTTTAGATTCCAAGTTGCAATTAATCTTGAAGCAACTCCCACATAAGTTTTGGCATAGCATCGAAGAATTTCCAGAGCCACAAGGCTATCTAAAATACAGGTGTTAGGTTGAATTGTCTTCATTTCAACCAATACAGCAAATAAGACACACTGAATGTAGAGAAGGATATGGAAATATAGCTGCCTTTTAAGTCAGCCTTTAAAGAAATATGCAAAAATAAAGGTACAAGAATGCTGTATTTTCTGGCCGGGGATGTAGCTCAGCGGCACAGTGCCTACCGGGCAAGCGTGAGGTCCTGAGTTTGATCACTGGGACCAAAAAAAAAAAAAAAAGAATGCTATATTTTCTCAATTTTTGGTTTGAAAACAATTATCACAAAAATCTATATAAATATGGAATAGGCTTATTATTTTAAGTAAATTATAAACACATTTGCTCTGAAAATAGCCCATGGGCTTTTACTTAGGTAAAAGAAGGCCAAGGCTGGGTATAGCAGTGCATGCCTATAAATCCCAATACTAGGGAGGGTGAGGCAGGAGGCTCACTATAGTTCAAGGCCAGCCTGAGCTATACACAAGACTCTTGTCTCAAAAAAACCAACTTTCTCCCCTCAAAAGAACCCCATAAAAATTAGAAGCACTCATACTTTAATAGTCTAAAAGCAATTCAACCTACAAGAACAAAAGGTACTGACAATTTTGAGTGGGTTTTTTTGAGACAATGTCTCACTTTGTAGTGCAGGCTGCCCTGAACTCACTACGCAGGAAGGCTGGCCTCGAACTTGCAGTGATCCTCCTGCATCAGCCTCCCAAGTGCTGGGATTACAGGGGTATGCCAGCACACCTGGCTGGTTGCTGACAATTTCTAACTGCAACTTTCAACATCAAAACTATTTAGTAAGCTTTTTAAGTAAAGATATTAGCTCAGTGGTTCCGTCACCTGCTTCGCAAGCACAAGGATCCAAGTTCGATCCCCGGTACCAAAAAAAAAAAAAGAAAAAAAAAGGTGACGTCAAGCAATACCTATACTGGACCATAATGAAATGACTTATATAATGCATAAAAATAAAACTGTACCCTAACCTTATACCATACATGGAAAATTAGTTCAAAATGTATTAACAAATTAAACCTAAAACTAAAACTTTTAGACAAAAAGAGAAAAAGCTACATGACACTGAATTGGATAATGATTTCTTGGGTCTGACACCAAAAGCACAGCTAACAAAAGAACAAACTGGACTTCATCAAATTTTTTTTTTTTTTAAGTTTACATCAAAAAAAAAATTGGGGGCAAGGGATTTAGCTCAGTGGTTTCGCTGCCTGCTGCGCAAGCGCAAGGACCCGAGTTCAATCCGAGTTCAATCCCCCGTACCAAAACAAACAAACAAACAAACAAAAAAACTGGATAAAGGACTTAAACTGACAGTTCCCAAAAGACAAATGCAACAGAGATGTGGTGGCTCACACCTGTGATCCCAGCACTTGAGAGGCTGAGGGAGGAGGACTGCCACAACTTCAAGACCAGCCTGAACTACACATAGCAAGACCCTGTCTCAAAAAGACAAAACAAAAAACCCCACACATGAGCTCTAAACACATGAAAATATGTCCAACATCTGCAGTCATTAGGAAAATGAGTAGCAACCATACTGAGATATTATTTCACACCCATGAAGGTAGTTATAATCAACTAATAAGCGCTGACAAAGATATGGAGAAATCAGATGAACAAGCACACACACCATTTCTGATAGAAATATGAAGTGGTAGAGCCACTGTGCAAAACAGTCAGACTTATCATATGACCCAGCAAATTCTAGTCCCAGGTATATATCTATCCAGAGAGACAGACAGTCAGCCATCCCTGACTTACAATTCTTCAAATTTAGAATGATATGAAAACATCAGGGATTCAGAAGAAACTGTACCTAGAATTAGTTTAATTCTTTTCCTGGGCTAGCAATATGTGGTACAATGCTGTCTTGTGAGGCTGGGTAGCAGCAGGGAACCAGAGCTCCCAGCCAGCCATGTGACCACTGGGGAAACAGCCAATACTGCATAGGTGCCTTGAGGCTAGGTTCAATGTTCAACAGGGTTAGTACATTAAGTCCATTTTCAATTTCGTTATATTTTCACCTTACAATGGGTTTACCAGGATGTAACTCCTTTGTTGAGCATCTGTAATAGCAACTGGATAGCAACTTTCATAGCAGCATTAGTCACACCAACTAATAAGTGAAAACAAAGTGTCCCTCAACAAAAAAAATAGATCAACATAATGTGGGAAGCATGTGTGTGTGTCTGTGAGAGACATACACAGAATGGAGCTGTTATGACTTGTGTCTAGATGTCCCCCAAAGTCTCATGTGGTCATAGGTGGAACTTTTTCAGAGGTGGTTGGATTACGAGTGTGTGACACTGGGATTAATTCCTGGAGCAATGCTAAGATCACGGGCACTAGGATTAAGGGTGTGAGGGCTACCCACCCTAAGTAGCCTGGAAAAGATATAAAGGATAGAAAGAGCTGTGGTCATCCCTTGTTACTCTGGTACCTTCTGTCCACCAGGAACTGTTTCCCCACTGTGATGCTTCTCTGCCATGCCTCCCTGCCTTGAAGCCAGTCAATTATGGACTGAAACCTCTACAAACGGTGAGCTAAATAAACCTTTTCTCCTTTAACTTTGAGTATCAGGTATTTTGTCTCAGCAACGAGGAAAGTAACTAAGGCAGGAACGTTATTCAGTAATAAAAAGAAATGAAATTTGGAAATATACTGTAACATGCATGGACCTTAGAAACATGCTTCATGAAATTAGCCAGATCCAGAAGGACAAATGTGACTCCATTTATATGAGGTATTTAGAAAGCTCAACGGTGTTTACTAGGAGTGGGGTGAGGTGCAAAGGGGTATAATTGTTTAATGGGTACAGAATTTTTGTTGGGGAAAATGAAAAAGTTTTAGGTACTGATAATAGGGGTGATTACATAACATTGTGAGCGTATTTAATACCACTGAATTGTACATTTGAAAATGGTTAAGTGATAAGTATTGTTATATGTATCTTTTACATCACACTTTAAAAACTGGTTACAATCCATTTTAAAAATGGCTTACTTATGTTCTCTGAAAGACATTTTTTTACGATGGTTGACACTGTCAAAAAGTAAGAGTTGGCCTCTCAATTATAAGAGAATAATCAAAACCACAGATAGTGTTTTACTTACCCGTTTAGGGCCACTAAAAATCTTTCTGGTATTTTCCTTTGATTTATCTCCTTGTTTACTTATGGGCTTCTTCACACTTTCAGGCACACCAGGCAAGTCCTCTGCAAAATCCAAGTTTTCTGAAACAGTAATCAAAACTAGCTAGCTTTCCAGTATTTCAAATCATTTACCAGACAACCTATGAAGCTTCCCCGCCCTGGCATACACAGAATGGAAAGAAGAAAGGAATAAAAGCACCACTCCCACTCTTTTCACTCCTTGCTTCACAAACCTGGTTGTGTGTGTGCTTCAGTCATACTTTGTGTTAATGGCAAAGTCAAGTATCTTCCTAAATAAATTGTGACCTTCATAAGTGATGTAACTATGGACACCTATGGATACTAACACTGGTATGGTACAGTGTACACAGAACACATCAAGTGATGTCTACCTTTAACATTTTTATAGATTTTAAGTCCATTAAATCTTGCTAGCTTCCAAAGAATGCCTGCTTATGTATACAAAAGCCACACTTAAAAACCCAAACGACAGCTTTAGTTGGCAAAAGATATAAAGCAATCTAGTACAGGGGCCAGGGATTTAGCTCAGTGGTTCTGCCGCCTGCCTCGCAAATGCAAGGTCCCGCGTTCAATCCCCGGTACCAAAAACAACAAAGAAAAGAAATCTAGTACAGCATAGTTCAATGATTTGTAGGTCTTCACACAAAACTACTAAACAATCAGAGTACTTCCCAAATGGTTATATTTTTTCTAACCTAAACAAAACAAAAACAGGAAGACTTTTCTTTATTCAACTCTTTAAAATGTTTACTGTTTTATACATAATAAAGATTCAAATTTCCAACTGTGATACAGCAAACAAAATGATCTCAAATTTTCACGTCACTCAGTGTCAATGTCAGATTTCTGTAGGTCTAATTTTATTTTTTCCCCAGTGCTGGGAGTCCAACCCTGGACCTCACAATGAGCTTCACTCCCAGCCCTAATTTCACATTTCAAAGCATAAGAAGTTTTATTACCCCACAGTGTAAATCTCAGTGACAGATTTTAACTGAAGATGAGGCTAACCTGTGAGTGATTCAGGCTAGTGCTAAGTTTGAGCAAAGTAACTGCAGCAGGTCAGGAGCTCAGGCACTGTACAGATTATGTAACAGAGCACAAGCATCTGTCCAGAAAGGCCACTGCAAGCTTCGGTTCTGCACAAGGGATCCAAGACAACAGAGGGTAAATTCTGCCAATACTCTCTATTGGCTTTGTTTGGTCATTCGTTTACTTAATTTTGCATCAAGGAGTGGGCCTGTAGGGGCTGCTTCTCGGTAATCCCATCTTTAGAGCTAAGAGTGAATCCTATCTGGGGTTAGGAGTATAGCTCCGTGGCACTGCACGTGCTGCACGTGCACAAGGCCCTGAGTTCAATCCCCAGCACCAATTAAAAAACAAAAAACAAAAAAACAACCTAATCTAGCCAGAAAAACTATTGTCAGCCCAGACAAAGCACAACGGTAGATAGTGTCAAGTACAACGGACTCTAGGAGAAAATACATATATTCAGGAATATTAGAACTCTTAATTCACCATGATGACACCTCTCCTACAACCCTAACAGGACAAAATCTTTATTTAACATTAAACCAATCCAGAAAAACCATTTTTAGCTAAGAGTCCCCGAATCCCAGTGTTTACTACTTCTTTTTCACCCAACAGTCAACCCACTTCACAAAGCCCGTCAGTGAATGATTTAATTACAGCAGATCTAACCTGTTTGTCTCTTACAGTAGAGACTGAACTAGAGGACCTCATCACTAAGCCTGTGACCTTCAGAGACAAATTAAATCTTCACTGTTAAGAGAGAATACTTAACCTACGTTTTTCAATTTTATTAAACCAGCTTAGGAGAGTTTGAGAATGTTTTAAATGTTCATTACTTCTGAGCCAACTACAAAAGTTTTTAATTAATTTTACTCTCATTAGAACCATCTGTTATCAGTACAATTGTAAATGTCCAAAACCTACCCTTATGTCTCCACTACACATGGTTTTTCAAAGCTGAAACACTAAGATGTTTGGTATTGTCACCCCATACACACAGGTTCTTCAAAACTTCAGACCTAGCCAGGGATTTAGCTCAGTGATTCCAACACCTGCCTTACAAGCACAAGGTCCTGAGTTTGATCCTCAGTACAAAAAAAAAAAAAAAAAAAGCACTCGAGACCTGATCATTAATATTTTAAATGCTGTGGGGCCAGGGATTTAGCTCAGTGGCACCATGCGTGCCTTGTAAGTGGCAAGGACCTGAGTTTGATCCTCAGTACCAGTACCAAAAAAAAAATTTTTAATGCTGTGCCTTTGGGTAAGGTAACTTTTAACACATAATTCTATTAAAAATAAATATAAAAAGTAAAACTGAGTATTAAACTAAGCAGATGCTGATTTAAGCCAGAAAACCACATTTTCTGAGTATGTATGCACATCTGAAAATCTTACCTGTGTTACTAGCACTAGACTGACTGTCCTGGGAATTATCATTGCTTTCTGGAGGAGGCTGCAAGGAGGGTGATGGAGCTGTTTTACTTCGTTTTTTGTTGGCCTTTCTTTCCACTTGACAGTCATCATCATCATCATCTTCACTTTCACTGAGATCATCAAAACCAAAATACTTAATTTTGTAATTAGAACTTCCAGAGGCTCCTTCATCGCCTCCTGTCTCATCATGATCTTCAAAACCAAAAAATTCAAGTTTAACATCCTTTTTGGATTTAACATTACTAGGCCGGAATCTAGTAGTGGTCTTAGAAGTTGCGATATCGGCCTTTTTTCTGAGGCGACCAGCTTCTCCCAGGTCTGCAGGAGTGGATGCGGTGAACTCGTCCATGCTTCGCTCCATGGTGTCCTGGATGGTGACATTACAGACTGACAAGCAAGATGGATGTAGCACAGTATAATCTCTAGTCCGGCCAACTGTCCCTCTAAGACTGGTCCCGCAGCCGGCACTGCCCTTCTTTGCCTGATTCAGGCCATCTTTACTCGACTCACTGTTTGCTTTGGCTAAAGCCTGATTGGTGCCGTCCATTAGCTTATCAAAACTGGATGCTCCTTGGGAGGCTTTTGCCTTGTTGGCCCTACAGTACGTCCTACAGTTGCTTGGCCTAAGAACACTTTGAACCATGTCTTCCTCAATGGCTTCATCTAGATTTTCCAATCGAGTTTTTAAATCCTCATCCTTCATCTCCAAAAGAGGATCGTTATCCAAACCTAAAATATCTTCTGACCTGATATCTTCAAAATCATTATCCCACTCATACAAACCAGTTCTCACAGATCCCTTGAGTGGAGATATTTCAGATGGGGACTCTGACCGTTTCCCAAACTGGGAGTTCCAAGTATCATTTGTTTCCTTGATTTCATCCGCTCTGTATCCAGAAGCCACTGTGGTTTCTGCATTGGATTTCTTAGTACTGTCGTCAGCATTTTTGTGTAAATGGTGACTATTTTTTTCATGTTCTTCACTAAAATTCTCCACTTTATCTATAAAAATAGTAAGTCAAAGGATAAAGACATGAGTGGCATCAACATACAAGTCAACAAGTAAAGATATGTGGCTGATAGTGTACAGTTAATCTTGAAATAAATGCAATGATTTTAAATTGTGGAGAAATTAACATTTATATACCAGACATCTCCCCTCCTGTCTTTTCACTATACACAGCTCTGATGTCCTCAAGGTATCAAAGCTGCTTACAATTGTCACCCTAAACTCCTCACAGAGTTTTCAGCAATGCTAAGCAACTGAATCAATCCAGAAGGACAGATACTTGACTCAGCCAAACCTCCTTGTGGGAATTATGGACTTTTCAAATAAAGATGCTTAAGTCAAAAATTATTTAACAGAACTTAAAAGCCAGTTGAACACAAGCAATGGAAGTCTTCCAGCAGTATCTGTATGTATGTGGGATAGAGCTTCCCATAGGTATGCAAGCTATCTAGAAACATGTCCGCAGGATTGTGTTTCTTTTAACTATTTCCATTCTTTCTTCTAATCCATAACCTCAAGGAATTTGTGGTGGCTATGTGTCCACACCAGCCAGTGTAAATCTTAAACTGCCAGTTCATTTTATACTTGAGAAATTCATTTTTGTTGCCTTATATTATTTTCAGAAACTTTTTCACCTTTCCAAATGAGATGGAAATACAACTCAAATTGGAATGAGGATTAATTCCTCAGCATTTATTAGAAAAATAGTGGCAAAATATTTATTCTATACAAAATGATAAAATTACTTTTTAGTCAGGCATGGTAGCATCCGCCTATAATCCCAGCACTCATGGGAGAATGAGGCAGGAGGATCATCTAAAATTTGAAGCAAGCCTGGTCTACATAGTGAGACCTATGGATGCTTTACAGGATTACCACACAGTGCAACCTTCGATGCTACCCAAGAGGGTCAAGTATAACTTGACTGGCTGAGATTTGTATTTACTTACCTTTAGGAGATGTCTAATTTATGAATAACAAATTCCTGTTTAACTCTTAGGTATTTCCCAGGTAAAGGCAAGGAATTATAGTTTTCTTACATGTAAGAAGCACAAATGCTAAGGAACTGAAAATCTAATAATTAAAAGCCAACTCTACTATTTGGTACCTTAAAAGATTTCTGGGCAAACCCAAGACTAACTCCAAAGTTGAAGAGTAACAGCCTTGTCTTTGTAAGTGTGCAGCTGGGTCTGCAGTCCTGCAACTGCTCTGGCCATGATAGCTCTGTGGGGCTCAGGCAAGAGGGCGAAGCTCTCCAGTTTCCACAAGTGTCGCAACTTCCTGTCTGTTCAACAGGGCACCACTACCCTAACTCTGCTTCCCAGTTATCAAAGGTACTACTGGAAATACTTATTCCTTCTGGAAACATTCAGTGAGTGCTTGGTATGCTTAACCACATAATGGTATAAGTATTAACCTAGAGCACTAACTGTTAACCTGCATCACTTTTATAGCTGCAAAGCAGTTCACTGTCTTAACATCACAATATTTAGGCTATTCCTTGTTTATGCAGTAAGTATTCTCTGAGTTTAAAAAAATAAACTTTTTTATCCAGTTTAAATTTTGGTTTTTGAGACAGGGTCTCACTATGTAGTTTAGGCTGGCCTTGAACTCACTACGGAGAGCTGCATGGCCTCAAACTCACAGTGATGCTCCTGCCCCAACCTCCCAAGTCCTGGGATTACAGGCATCCACCACCATGCCTGGCTTATCCAGTTTAAAATTACTACTTTAGCCAGGCGTGGTGGCACATGCCTATAATTCCAGCATTCGGGAGGCTGAGGCAGGAGGACCATCACAAGTTTGAGCCCAGCCTGGTCTACATAGTGAGTTCAAGGCCAGCCTGAACTACAGGGCAGAGACCTTATCTCAAAAAACAAAACAAAACAAATTACTACTTAAAGTGCTTCCCCACAGGAGACCCCTGCACTGCCTTCTGAATGTGTACTTCAATTCTGCTCAATAAGCCTATCTATGCCTCTCAAAAAAATCACTACTTTAAGCTTTATTACCCTTTTTAGCCATAAAAACCAAGTGTGCACTTTATACATTTCAACCATTACTAGTCTTTTCAACATGTTGCCTTTCATGTGATACAGGTTGAGTTTGTGCTGTAAGTTGATCTTAAAATTTGTTACAAATGTGAAAAGTGAGGCCTATAAGAAAGTATTTTGCTAAAAGAGCTGTATCATTAGCGAACAATCTAACCATGTATTCAACTATGTAGCATAAACAATCCTACAATCAATTATTATCAAAGTATATTATATACTTTAACTTCTGAAACTCATTACATAGGTAAGGCTAATTTTATAGAGTTCTACATAAGAAAAGCTGTCCATGATTTCAATATTTTAATATATAAATGTTTTCTACACTCCTCTATCATTTAACTTTCCAATAAAAATCCTTAACTACACCTTCAGAAGAGAACTATAGCTAACTTACCCCTCAAATGCAGAACCAAAACTATGTTTAACTGCCCTCCTCCCTCAAATATCCCAGCTTTCCTGTCAAATAAACCCACTAAAACATCAAGTACATACAGAAAAAAGATAAATGGTGGGCAAAGAGAAGACAAAGGGAAATAAAGATAAAATCTAATAAAACCTGCCTTGCCAGGTGTGGTAGTACTTATTGATAATTCCAGCTACACAACAGAAGAGGCGGAAGCAGGATTGTCAAACTCAAGGTTAGCCTAGGTAATTTAGCAACCTGTCTCAAAAATTAAAATAGGATTTTTTTTTTCTTTTTGGGTTTTTTTTCTCCCTCCTGAGACAGAGTCTGGCTATATAGTTTAGGCTGGCCTTGAACTCACTATGTTGCCCAGGCTGGCCTCCAATTCATGGCAATACTCCTGCCTCAGCCTCCTGAGTGCTGGAATTATATGTAGGTGTGCACCATCTTGGCTGGTCTAATAATTTTTTTAAAAGGGGCTGGGGATGTAGCTCAGCAGGAGAGTACAGTACTTGATTAACATGCAGGCAACCTTGGGCTCAATCCCCAGTACCCACTTCCTCCCAAAGAACAAAAACAAACAAAAAACCCCAAAATCTGCCTCAAAAGCAGGCTAACTAGATTGAACTGATACAGTAAAGGGTATTTTGCAGCTTATAAAGCAATGGTGGGAACCTATGGCACACATGCTGCAGCTATTTGATATCACTGAAAGCTGTAAAAGGTTCACCACTGCTGTCATTATATAGCTATCACAACTTTGCCAAAATACAAGATGTTCATAATAGCTTTTTAAAGACTTCATAATGGAAATACAAGTTCATCAATACTTCCTTTATGTCCTATGTACTACAGCTTCATTCCAAGAACCCAAAGCCACATTCTAGGGCCTATTATTCTTAAGCTAGAGTGAGACTGGACGTGTAGAAAGCTCTGGTAAAGACTTAGCCTCACATCGCCTATAAGCAGACACATAAGCCTTTTCATGTCAGTTTTTATCATCAATAGATTAGTGGTCAATCTTTCATATACACGGTAACATTTAGAGTCTGGCATAATGATGACTACCTGAAAACTGAATTACACAGGAAATCTGTACATGCGGACTGTGAAATTCCTTATCTTTATAGAAAAGATGGGTTATTCAATAAAAAGAAAAAAACAGTTGGTTCTATACCTCAAATATGAAATATATTGTAGATAACTCAAAGACTTAAATGAAAAATGAAACATACATACCACAAAGCAGGGGAAATATTAAAAAATACATTACTCCACAATGGGGAAGTTCTTTCTCAGACACAAAATCCATAATCTATATTCATCTACATAAAATATAAAATTTAATAATGATAAAAAAAGTTACATAAATTCGTAACATTATGAAAATAACAACTCATAATGCAGGAAAAAAAGGGCCAATTCCTCCCTTAGCTTAAAAAGAGCTCTCACATAAACCTACATGAATTACAGACCTTAAGATGAAAATGTGAAACTTTCAAAATATAGGAATACCTTCAAGACTTAGGCAAGGAAGGATTTCTTAAGATACAAAAAGCATTAACCATAGCAGAAAAGAAACATTTAATTTGATCAAAATTACATCTTCAATCATTCTTTAAAAACCAAACTGCCCTATGTGGTGGTATATACCTGGAATCCCAGCATTCAGGGGCCTAAGACAAGAGGATCAAAGTGAGTTCAAGAACAGTCTGAACTACACAGCAGGACTTCGTCCTAAAAAATATCACTATTGGGCCAGGGATTTAGCTCAGTGGTTCCACCGCCTGCCTCGCAAGCGCAAGGACCTGAGTTCGTTCTCTGGTACCCAAAAAACAAACAAACAAACAAACAAAAATATCACTATTTAAAAAAACAAGCATTTGAGACCAGGGAATTTAGCTCAGTGGTTTCACCGCCTGCTGCGCAAGCGCAAGGACCCAAGTTTGATCCCCAGTACCAAAAAAAAAAAACAAAAAACAAAAGAAAACAAAAAAACCTCAAGCATTTGAAGCCCTGGTTTTGAGCCATGGTATTGCAAAAATTAAATTTAAAAAGGAGGAGACAAGAGGGGGGAATTGAGACTATGTATTAAAATAACTATAACTCAAGTAACACCGACTATCCAAAAGAAAAATGATCAAGAGACTTAACCTGTTTCTTTTTTTAAAAAAAGACAACTAAGTAGAGTGTGGTGGCCATGTACTTGTTATTCCAGCACTCTGGGAGGATGATGCAAGAGAATTGCACACGGAAGCCCAGCCTGGGCAACTGAGAGAGATTTGGGAAGACCCTGTCTGAAAGTGGAAAAAAAAAAAAAAAAGTAAAAATAAAAGGGGCTAGACATGTAGCTCAGTATGAATGAAGCCCTTAGGTTCAATCCCTAGAACTACAAAGATAGATAGATAGATAGACAAGACAAGACAGGACAGACCAACCAACCAAGCTGCACAACTACAGGACATGAGAAAAGTGCTTATATTAATCAGTCACTAGGGAGACACAAATCCAAACCATAATGTCACACCACAACACA